TTAAAAGTAAGACTGCCAACCAAGAATTCAATATCCAGCAAAACCATCTTTCAAAACTAAAGAGAAATTAAAACAACCCTCTGTAAACAAAAAACAGGGTGTGCTACTTACTTGCAGACCTTCCCTACAGGACATACCGAAGTGGGAGGCACTACTTCTTTCTCATTTGCGGGCAGAACAGCTGGGAAGGAGATCAGCAAGGAAACGGGAGACTTGAACAACACTACAAACTAAAAAGTCTAACAGGTATTTATAGAACATCTGTAGAGATTAAATAAGTAATAAAAAACTTGCCATAAAGAAAAACCCAGGACCAAACAACTTTCCTGGTGAATTCTACAAAAATATTCAATGAAGAATTACAAAAATCCTTTACAAATTCTTCCAAAAATAGAAATAAAAGAAACACTTACCAATTCAATCTATGTGATCATAATACCAAAACCACAGAAAACCATTTCAAGAAAACTAAGGACCAATATTTATTACATCTACAGAAAAACCCTCAACAAAATACTAACAAATTGAATCTAGCAACTTGGCAACTTATAGGAGAATTATATACCATGACCAAGTAGGATTATCTGAGAAATGCAAGGTTGGTATCAGTCAATGCCATACACCAAATTAAGAGTACGAAGGGAGAAGATAATGATCTCAATAGACATAAATTGCATTTGACAAAATCCAACAGCCTTTCATGATAAAAACACTCAACAAAATATGAATAGAAGAGAACTTCCTTAACCTGATAGAGTATCTATGAAAAACTCACAGCTAACATCACATTTAACAGTGAAAGACTGAATGCATTGCTCCTATTACCAGACACAAGACACAGATGGATGCTCTCACCACACCTATTCAACACTGTACTGAAGGTTCTAGCCACAGTAATTATGGAGGAGAGAAAAAAGTATCCAGATTGGAAAGAAATAAGTAAAACTATTTCTATTCTCAGATGACATGATCAAAGTGCCAGAGGGTTATATGAACCATGTAAATGAACATCAGAAGCATTCAAGCTTGTAACAAAGCTTACAATGAAGAGGGAAAGTGAGCCAAAGGACCGAGATTTTTGTGAGCTAGGGTTAGGACCAGTAAGGAGGAGCTAAGTCTCAAAAGGAAGAGAATGAATAATAATTCATTTAGAAGCGGCAGTGAGGAGTGAAGACAAGACCCCGCCTCTGAACACTAAAGGACTGCAATTGACTGAAAATAAGAACCCTTCATTTTAAGAATGCTACTGGGGAGTCAGTACATTTAGGGAAGAATTAGGTTTGTTACAAACAGGGAATGTAGGGAAAAGTCAACATGTGGGTTTGTTAGGATGTAAGAGAGAGAATTCCACATAGTATAACAGAAAGAAGGTGGTGAAGGGGGAGGGAGGCCTGGGGAGAGAAGAAGTGTGAAAAATTAGGCAAAGTGAAAAGAGAGCACAGTATTATGACAGACATGGTCCTACTTACAATTTTTCGATTTTATGTTGATGCGAAAGTGATATGCATTCAGCAGAAATAGTACTCTGAATTTTGATCTTTTCCTGGACTAGCAGTATATAGTGCGATACTCTCTCATGACGCTGGGTGTCAGCAGCAAGCTGCATCTCCAGTCAGCCACAGGCTTGCAAGGGTAAACAACCAATACTCTATAGTGTATTCACTGTGTTAGAAGGTTCTGCCCAACTGCAGGCATGTAAGTGTTCTGAGCACATTTAAGGTAAGCTAGATGAAGCTATGATATTTGGCAGGTTAGGTGTATTAAATGCATTTTCGACTTATGATATTTTCAACTTATGAAGTGTTTAGCAGACCATAACTTCATCGTAAGCTGAGATTCTGAATAGAGGAAATAGGTAGTGTTTCTCAATCACCAGCCCCGAGTTATGGATAAGACATAATCCTATAATTATGACAACATTGAAAATGAAGGACAGACAGAAAAGGGAATTAACACTCAAAAAATCAGAATGGAAAGAGGGACTTGTATACATGTAATATTGGAAAGGCTCTGGGGTTAATGCATCCAAACCTTTTTACATCAAGGAACAGAGAGAAAATGATAGTGTTAAGGTATGCTAGAGTAAGGCTTGTCTTGGATGAGTTCTCTCTCTCTATCACTCATTCCCATAACTAGCTCTATGAGATCTAGATGTCCCAAACTCCACGTGGCCACCCCAAAGCCTGAGGGGATCAATAAACTGGTTAATCTATAGCTATTCATGACAAAATGGTATGCCTCATCCCATGTGTTGGGAAATTCTGCACTAAATGAGTCAGATTAGAAACCCTCAAGAATGCTGTGCATTTCTCTCTCCTCACTGAGAATCACCAATGTGGACAATCCACAAATCACTAGTCCCTGAAGATACACTGTGCAGAAGGGATCTGTGGTCATATGTTTTGGCAAATGGCTACATATTCTATTATCTTTTACTACCTTTTGCAAAATCATAAAACTATGTTTATATATTAAAGGCACTATGGAGTCTACTATTAAAAAACTCATTTTAACTTTAATTTGTTCATTCCTACATTCATTTGATCAGAGAATCTCTCTTATTTACACCTGTTGACATCCAAGAATATAGCTTTTGGAAAATGTTGCTTAACTTTTCTGACAGATAATCAGCCTCAGCCTGACCATTCCCAGGGACAGAGATTACTAACTCCAGGTAATTCATTCCATTTTGGATGGTCTGATTAATAGCCTCTCACTTTAAACTGAACTTTGCCGCTCTTTACCTTAAAATGCATAGATAGTTTGCTACCTAGAGTTAGAAACTACATCTATTCATTCCTCCAAATGACCTAGCAATCCAGCTCTAAATGCAGAGTTCTCTGAAAATGCCACACCGTTTCCTAAATGGTTTCACACATGCTGTTTTTCCATCTCAGCCCTCATCCCTCTCCTCCATAAACCACTGCCCTGCCATCTCTAGTCATACTTATCAGTTTAAAAGTAACTTCCTTTATACAGCACTATCCCAGACAAAAACCAGTGGCTGCATGCTCCTACAGTCCCGCAAACATCCCTTGATTGAGGCGCATGTCATCATTGCCCTACACAAATACTGCATCATAACTATCTACATACCTGTCTCTCCCAGACTCAGGATCCTGTCCACAGAAAGTAGGTACTACTCATCTTTGTATGGGATGGAAGAGGGACACGAATCATCTATTCAACTGATAATTGCAATGATTCCAACTGAGCCCACACACTGCATAACGTTTTATCACCCTCCCAACAATGCTCCCAGAAGCTATGACCAACCCACAGCTCTCACCTCCTACCCAATATCCAAATTCATCCCAGCTTGATAACTGAGCAGAGTTCAGCATATTGGTTCTCAATGAGTATCTATGAAATGGATGAATAAACCTTATCTGAAGTATAAGCAATGGTTCATGTTTTAGTTAGACTTCCAAATTTTTATCAATTGGCCTTAAATTTACCTTCTTATAAACCAAACATCAAAGATGAGGGAAGCAAAACCTTCATTAGCAATAATTAACCAAAGAACTTATATGCACATATGCATAACCCATGAACACAAACAATAGCACGGTAGGCCTGGGCGGGGGCTGGCATCTGTAATACTTTCAATAATAAAGATAAATTTTTTAAAAAAGACTATCTTCACCTAAGATTCTTGTTTGATATATCAACTCTCTGATGTCCGTTCCTTATCAAAAGCCCAAATGTGAGAAACAGAACAGCCAAAATAATGCCTGGAAGGATGTGTACTAAATAAATTATTTCAGATATTCTAAATTTCATCTGTGCATCAAATTATACCAACAGAAGGATCTTTAGTTGGACATCATCATCTCATGACCCACTGTAGGGACCACCTTTCCTAACTTAGACTAGAGTTCTCTGTTGCTTACACTGAGGAGCATAAGTAAGAAATGGACTTAAGGAATTTATTATTATTTCTACTTTGGGAAACTGTCTGAGACCTGTCCACTATATCACAAGGTATTTTCCTTACAAAAATGCATACAAAGCAACTTTTTCCAGGTTTCTGTCTCATAAAAGCCAATCAATTCAGGAGAAATATGTCCTTTATCTTATGTACACTGGAACTCTTATAATAGATCAAGCTTTGTTCTTTGCTTTTGCTGTAAGGAATCTTAAAGCCAATATTTTTTCTTACTTCAAGAACTATATGGGGCCATGTGTTTCCCTCCCACTATTCTTTTACCCCAATTTTATTATTTGTATTGTAAACTAGCTCCAAAATTACCTCAAATCCCAGTGGAACAAGATGACAGAGTGAAAAGGAAAAAAATTAGCAACTACCACTGGGTACCCACTATAAACCAGACACTGCTCTGGGCACTTTTAACCCTGATCCTTCAACAGTGAGGAGAGGTATTATAAACCATAGTCTACAAATGATAAACTGAAGTGGAGAGGGGTTAAATTAATTACCTAAGCTCACAAAGCTAATATGTGCCAATCCAGGGTCTGATCCCAGGCATGAATGGCTACAGAGCCACATTATACATGAGGTCTGACCAAGTTAAAGACCATGCTATGCTTCAAAAAGAAAAAGAATTATAGCATTGTACAGTGCTTTCTTTTGTTTTTAAGAGTACATGAGAAATTTCTTAATTTCAATTTATATATGCAAAAGAAGACAAGTCATTTGGCACTAATTTTACACTGGTATTTTAAAAATAATAAACTTTAACAAAATCAACATTTAATGACTCCTAAATGAGACCTAGAAAATCACTCCAGAACTTAAAGTCCAAATAGCAGACATAAATAAAATATTTATATTCTTGATAAAGTTAATAAAAAAAAAATTGGGATCAAAAGGAAAAAATTGAGACATATTCCAGCTAGAACCACATATAACTTGAAACGTTTTTTGGTGCCACTAAAAACCAGGCAAAAAAAAAAAAAGGTTTTCAGGGGGAAGGGGTAGAGAGATAAAAGGGAAATTATGGCTCAAAATTAATCAGAGGATAGAAAATTAGACTCACCTGCTCAAGTCATTTTTTCCATGGTGATGATAGCGGTCAGAATGGCTGAGGTGGTAATGGTCCTGTCCACTCCACCTCTGGGGTGGCCTTTTCCAAAATCCTTCCTGAGACTGCCGAACATTTCTGTCTGATCGATCAAAGCGATTCATATTGTCACACTCCACTAGGCAGATTCAAAAGCAAAACACTATAAACATGTACATACTCTATAAAAGTTAAGTACTTAGAGCTTGATCATTAAATGCTGCTGAAAATATAAAAGTAATTTTCTAAAAAGTACCAATAATTTATGTTTGCTAATCACAAAATCAAGATTTCCAGAAGAAAAATAACCAGTTCTTTGGTAAAAACTGACATTTATATCATTCGAACTGAAGTAAATTATAAAACTTTCATATCACAGTCACTTAAAGTAACAATTAACGGTCCAACTGTTTTAAAACAAGCAAATTATATTTGAAATCAACATTAAACATTTTAAACACCAGTAATCAGTTTTAAGTGGTTTTCATCATTATCACTTGGTTCTGACTTCAGAATGAAAATGACAAGAAAAAGTAGAAGATTCTACGTGTAGAAGAGAATTCATTCCTAAAAATGAATGTCACAATTAATATTCCCTGATTTCAAAAAGCACACATTAACTTTTCATCACAAACAAATCATATTTTTAATTAAGCTCACAGTTTTAGAAAGGCGCTTCACTCTGCCTGCAGTAGAGCTTGTTCAATACATCTAAAATGCCACTGAAAACAAAGCCAGTACTTTGCAGCAACAAACAGTACACTCCCTGAAATCCAAATTCCACAAAAACATGAAAAGAATCTCTTTGAAACACCCCAAGCTTCTACTTCACTTACCGGAACACTTTTTCCTCATATATCTGAGCACTCACTGAGAGAGTTACTTTGTACAAGGGAGACATTGTGTCGCCTGCTGCCTACTCAGACATAGTTGCACACAAGACACTGACAAACAGGCCTTCCTTCCTGCTCAATTCCCAGCCCTCCCTGTGGGAAGCAAGCCCAGTTTGCCCTGTGACTCCATCTTCCCTCAGTGCTTACATAGCTACCGAGTTAGGACTGTTGCTAAAAATACAACTCAACACTAATCCAAGCCAGACAGGAAAAGATTCTCTAGTCCGAGAATTATTACATGAGAAAGTTCAAATCCAGCATGTTCAGAACTTCTTGTGATAAAAAACAACTAAAAATAACTTTAAAAATCAATGTAATCCCCAACTTCAAAAAAAACACACAACACACATTACAGTATTTAAATGATTGTTTTCACTTAACCTAAAACTTGAATTTGAAATATGGAGAGTGTTTCATTATAGTATACCAGATAAAAACACAAACTTTTGCAGTCCAAAGAAAAAATGGTGTATAGATGTTCAATTCTCTCATACACTGAACTCACTGTAACATATTTCTTCAAAATGTTTAACAATTTATATAAGGTTTTAAAAGACACAGAAGTTTTGTTTAAATTCATTAGAAGGATAAATTTTGGGGGGAAACTATGTTTTATAGTTTTTTTTTAAAGACTTTTTTAATGATAAAAAAATTTTAAACACAGCTTACATTTAAAATTATTTCAAACAATTTCTTGTTACCCTCATTGAGATAAATTAAAATCTGCTTTTTAAGTTCAATTCTAGAAAACCAGGATGTTAGATAGATAAAAGCATGGTGACCATTATGCCAAAAAAAAAAAAAAAATTAGTGGAAAATGAAATTGCAAAAGAAAACTAAATTAAAAAATAACCCAAAGAAGGTTTAAAACTGTGTTTACTTCACGTCTGTATTATACTCATAGACTTGGTTAAGTTCCTTAAGTATTCCCACCTGGTATTAAAGTGTTACTTTAGTTTAAGCAACTCTATATATCTGAGGGATGATCTATATCTACTTTTAAATGTTCTGAATTCATAGTTTTCTTAATTCAGGCAGATAAAAATCACTCACTCCCCACACAAGAAATTCTGTTACATTACTTGATATATAATTAGCACATCATCAACACAGTGCACACAGAGTAACGAGTAGCAAGCAAACCAAGCAAATAGGTCAGGAGATAGTGTTAAATACTGTGGGAAATCACATGCAGAAATTGATGTGCTGCTTTTCTGTTTGCTAAAGGTGTTGGTATACACATAGCCTTCAAATTAAAGCACCTTTACTGAACCATGAATTCAAACATGGGCATCATGGCAAATAAGTACTAGAAACAAACAGTTGTGATGACTACAAAGATGACTGGTAGAAATGAAGACAGAGGGGGCTTACTTCTCAGAGATATAACTGCACCACGACTCTGTGGGAAGGCCCTGCTTATACATCTATCTAAGGTACCCATCAAGTATATTCACTTATAAAATGCTATTAAGAAGATAACATGAAATAACATCAGTGGTGGTTTCTTAGAAAAGGTTAATGAGAGTTCTCGAATGGAATTAAAGAAATAATATAGAAGAAAAAAAAATGAAAGCAACTAAAATTACAAAATGGAGATAAATCAAAACCAGTTTCCAGAGCCAATGAGGAAACAGGACAAATGAGTAGGGCAAGAAGCGGATCCCTCTGCATGTGTGATGCCACAGGAGGCAACGGGGCCAACCTAAACGCATTCTAGTTTGGAAAACTTTTAACCCACCATGCTGATCAGAACTATCTATACACAGCAGACTGGGCCCTAACTATGGGTTTAGGACCAGAGAACAAAGGCCTTCTTAATGTTTCCAGCTCCAAATGTAAAAGGAAGCAGATTTAATATGTTTGTTTTTTGTTTGTTCATCTTTACTATGAATAGGAGACAGAGAGAGAATACTAGGTCTTTACCCTCTGAAGAGGACCTAAGACAGCTAACTGAAAGGGGTGGCACCTAGGGATGCTTATTTCTAACATGCATCACAGCAACTTCTTCTGATTTGATAAAGGAACAAAATATGACACCAAAAGTTACCTAGATTATTTCTCTGGTAGCTTGTCCTAAGAAGGTCATGGAAAACACAGGTAGTATTTCCATCTGTGACTAACTATTGGCTATGAAGAGAGTGGGAAGAAATTACACATCACAAAGCCTGATCCCAGCTAGGCGTGGCTCAGCGGTTGAGCGGCAACCTAGGATCCAGGCGATCGGGATTCAATTCCCCGTCAGGGCACATGCGGGGGTTGCGGGCTTGATCCCATCAGGGGCCTGTAGGAGGCAGCTGACCAGTGACTCTCTCATCATTGATGTTTCTATCTCTCTCTCCCTCTCCCTTCTTCTCTCTGAAATCAATATATATTTTTTAAAAAACAACAAAAAAATCCACAAAGCCTAAAAAACATGTACTTTGCGGGTTTTACAATCTCATCAGGAAAGCTTTTAACTGAAATTTGGCTTGAAATTAAAAGGCTTATGTAAAATAAAAAAATCACAAACCTTGTTATTACTAAACACAATTAGTACTCAAAAATACAAATAAATTTCCAGAAGAAAATACCGTAATAACTGGAAAGTGGTCAAAGACAATACTATTAATCTCATATGACTATACCTCAATAAAAAGTTTAGCAAAAATGTGGCCTTAAGAAAAATAACATGAAGCACGTGCAATTTAATAGACACCTTAATTTGGTGGGGTGGGATTGAGGAAGGAATTAGATATCTTTTTCAACACAGGTAAGTTTAAAACCAGAGTGAGCAGAGGAAACAGCACATATAAGGGACACATGATAGAAATTTTGTAAGCGTAAGCATTACTCTGTGAATGTGCCAAATGCTAGGCTTTAATCTGTAGGCAATGAGGGACTATTAGAAGCTCTTAAGCAAGAGGATAAGGGAACACAGCTGTGTTCTTGATAGAACTGTGAAACTCCGAGGTACCCGGTGGGGAGAGACCCTCTAAGCAGGGTTCCTGGTGGCTAACTGGGATCAACTTCTAAAAAACAGAGCCCCGCAGCCATTTCTACGCACCGGCCTTTCTCACGAAGTGCCTCCAGGGAGAAGTCTGCGCTGAACCGCCCCCCCCCGCCCCCCGCTCCCTGAGCCGCCTCGTAAAGGCTTCCCCGAGTCCTATCCAGCCAACAGAGCAGAGGCTCACCCCATCCAATCAGAGCTGTGCAGCTCCGGCCAATCAGAGCTGCTCTGCATTGACCAATCAGGACAGTGCCTACTGGACCAATCAAATTTGGAGGATTTGGAGTCCTGTCTGCAGGAGGACAATCTAATCAGAGAGCAGAAGTGGGGACTCCTGTCGTCTAAGCAAGCTCCCCTCTGGCCCCCGGAGAGAACGTCCCCTTTTCACCTGGGGCTGAAGATGGCACCTGCCTGGCAGAGCTGGAACACCAATGTCCCCTCAGGGCGGAGCAGAGCTGTCCAGCCTGAGGCCTGGCCCCAGAGCTGCTCCAGAGCTGCGCTGGACCAGCACAAGGTGTTCCCTAGCCATACTCTTTCACAGCCATGCTGTATCACAACTGAGGAGTTTTGCACTGAATAAAGTTTCCTTCTTCACTGCACCTCAAATTGGGGATTCCTGTTGGCCTTGAATTGGCGCCAATGACCATCAGTTGACAACATAAAACTATTCATTTAGGAGACACTTCAGGACAAAACCAGAACAAATCTCAAATACCTAATGGTCTCCCAAAATAAATTAAGATTCTAAAATTGTTTCCTTCAGAGAATCCTGATCAAGGTAAAAGAAAAATATAAAATAATTAAAACAATTTATGTTTTACATTCTTCCAAATTGCAACTCAACCCAAAAGTTCTTCCTCCTTTTACTTCTTCCCTCACTCTACGCTCCTCTCTCTTTCTCTGTCCAATTTCTCCCCTGACCTGTTCACCTTCCCCCGAAGCTGGCCAGAAACCTCAAAAACTCAATACATTTTAAAAGTTAAATGTCTTTCACAAGAGGGGATAAAACCCCTTAAGGTTCTTTTTAAGACCTGATATCTCATTCTGAGCTGAGAGCCCCATATGGCTACACATTTTCCAAGGTCCAAACAAGATTGGGAGAAATTTGCAGAGTAATTTAGAATAGTGTTAGGAATTGATAATCCAGAGCTCCCAGGTCTATATCAATAAATTCATACATTAGAGGGAACTCCAGTTGCAAAAAATAGAATGGAAAAGCTCTATGTGAAGAACTGAAGGTAACTTAGGAGCCTATGACTGATCATGTAGAGGAGGAAAAAGTTTTGTCAACTCTCTTAGGGTCTGAAATTTAAACTGACAAGACAACAGGAGAAAAGCATACGAATATATTTAACATAATACATGACATGGCCCCTCATAAGGAAATAAAGACCCAAAGAAACCATTAGGCCTGGGTATGTCTACGCTGGGTTTGATGGAAGACTGGGTAGTCATGAAGGACTATGGCTGGTTAAGGAGCATTAGATAATCGTAGTAAATGGGGAAACTTATCAAGGCCTGTTTTTTAGGGTTTGCCTTGGTGTCCCTTTGTCTTCAGAGAACAGGATGCATAGGGAGGCCACTCTCATAGGAGGGCTTTATGACCAGTTTCAGGGAAGAAGGGCAAAGAGGGAAGGAGGTCAGGTTGATGACCTCCTTTTGCCGTCTTCTTAAATTCTTTCAGCTTAAAATATTCAAAATGCCAAGCTGCCATATTTGGGGGTAGTGTATCCTGAACTCAATTACACACAAAAAACAAAAGAAGTTAGAAAAGGTCTTTCCGAGGCTATCAACAAAGTATTTTTTGTGAACACAAACTGGTTACTTCTGCTCCATAAGTAAAGATAAATCCACTGCAAACTTCAAGGATAGACTAATATAATTAGATAACATTCAAGAGTAGATTCTGAAAGAGATGTGGCCCTATCTTTCACCTCACTTTCCAGGAAAGATTTTAAGGCAGAAATACTGTAATAGCCTCACTGCCAGACTTCCAGTGCTTGGAAAGAACATTAGAAAAAAGCAGAATAAGACTCAGAATAAAATAATGTCCTTCACATACAACAACTAGATGTCTCCACCACACTCGGTTTAACAATGGAGGAAGAAATCTCTGAATACATCTATAGATACTACACATAGCAGGGCATTCGAAAAGTAAGTGTCCTATATTGCATTAAAAAATAAACTAGAAAAAGTTAAGTGGATGATGAGTCCAAGTGCTCTGAGGCAGAAATCAAGCATCCCGTTTCTGGTTTTACCGTTAAACTCAAAGATAACTTCTCTAAATACTAAAGGACAGCCTTGCGAATGTTTTATTGATACAGATGCTACAATGCCAACCTACTACTTCTACATAACCTCTCCTGTGTCATCAAACCACTAAGGTGTGAATATCTCTAATCTCTCTCAAACTGTTCTCAAATTCTACCCCATAACTAAGAAACTTTTGACCAACAAACATTCTTTCCTCCTCTGTATTACCATGTACGATGATTTAATAGGTAATGATTTACCACACAAATGCAATTGCCAGATAAATATTCTCATCACTTCTTCCTTGAAATCACAGAAAAGTGCCCTGTTCATAATGAAGTCACAGTGAACAACTTCAGACTGAAGGATCTCCATGAGGTGTGTCTTCTTGTTGGCAAAAATTCTACCTATATTGGCAGAGTAAGTGGGCTGCACCCATGAAAGTTCGGAGTGACCCATCCAAAAACTTAACCCAAATTTGCCTAATAGCTTCAAAAAGCAGAATCTAAAGGTACTAAAAACATAGTCCAAAGTATATTAGAAGACTCTTTAAACATTGTACCAGTCTTCAAAACATTCCTGTTCTCCCAATCAAAAAACTCGGTGAGTATGGTGTCCCTCAGGACCTCAGAGCTATAAAGACCAGTCATTACATACTTCCTTGCAGCACCAAACCTAAACACTATTTATCTTTGGTGCCTCTGAAAGCAACATATTTTATTTATTTTTTTAATATATCTTTATTGATTTCGGAGAGAGGAAGGGAGAGGGAGAGAGAGTTGAAACATCAATGATGAGAGTCATTGATCGAATCCTCCTGCACACCCCTGACTGGGAATCGAGCCCCCGCAACCCAGGCATATGCCCTGACAGGGAATTGAACCGCAATCTCCTGGATCCTAGGTCGATGCTCAACCATCGAGCCACGCCCAGCCGGGCGAAAGCAACATACTTTAGATCCGAGTTCTGCTTTCTTTAGTGTCCATTAGCTCAAAATAGTCAATACTTGTTTGGCTTCTAGGAAAATCTGTAATACACATGAGTTATACCTCAGGAATTCCCTTGAACTTTTCATAAGTCCCCAACCAAGACCTCAAAGCTTTAAAGCTCCCTGTGATTCCACTTTTATCTAATACGTGGATAACTTTTTGTTGTGCTCAAAAGATGAGGCAGGCTCTAAGACTGACACCATCTTTACTTCCTGGTATAGCTAAGAAACGGTATAAGGTTTCCAAAGAGAAGTGGTTATAATTCTGTCAAAGTAAAATGCATTATTTAGGATGTGATTTATTCCAAGGAGGTAAATGCCTTGCTCCTCAATACCAGCCCTTAAAACTTCACATTAAATATCCTGGACCATGAAGTCATTGTTTTTCCCCCTATAATTTTCAATGCTTTATGTTTTTCCTCTGTGTTCTACAATATTTTTCTACTTGACCTTCCAGGCCACTAACTCAGATTTCAACAACAGCTATTCTTTTTGTCATCTACTGAACTGTTCTGTGGGAAAATCTTCTTCTATAGCTTTAGCAAGTACTGTGCTGCAACTGAGTCTCTCCCTAAGTGCTCTCATTATTATCTCCTTGGGCCACTCTAATTCTGGGAGTTCTGCTGTTTTTCCTCTTTTTCTTCCTGGGTGTTCGCTGCAGTTTTACTTTCTCAGTTGATTGGAACTCAGCTTTAGTTGCTAGAGTATCCCATGTGACAGCAAAACCACAAGAAGGTGCAACAGTCTCTACCCCAGTGGTAGAGTAGATCCTGTTGTCAGTTCATCACTCCCTCATTTAACAGGATTATACATTTAATGTCCTCTGTTGCAGAGCATCTCACTGTAAATAGTGTGGACCTCCCAGTCCCACTAGTGTAGAATCAACAGTGTGCTCAGTGAAGACTTTAAGAGATGACTTATGCATGTTTCTGCTCAACCTGTTGTCCTACCATCTGCATGGGAGAAACCTGCTCCAAGAAGTCCTGGCCTCAAAGTGAAAAGCAACTAGACATGAATTCAATCCCATAGCCTAAGAGGTCCCAACTAACCCCCAGATACAGGAATGAGAAGTAAATATCTATTTTGAAAACCACTGAGAGTTTAAGATTGATTGTTACAGAGTATCCTGGCAGAAAAACAACAAAAACCAAGCCTGATCAGTATGACAAATGTGAGCAACAGGTTTAGTACTTCAGTGACACACTAAAACGAACACCTGCCCTCTCTGAAATATCCTTGCATTCTTCTAGCATCACATATTAAAAAAAAACTTCACCACCCTTTTTTTGGTTTGCCCCTGGTCCCTAGGAGGCCTGAGAGACCAGGCACATGCTGACTGACAGGGAACCCACAGATCTTGGGGCCCATTCCTCTTCCCAAGAGGGTCACCATTCCAACCCCTGTCCCAGGGGCTTTCCTAGGCTGGTCTCTGGTCCTTGATCAGTCTTTAGGACAGAAAATCCTACAAATGCTGTGTCTGTGGGGGCAAGAGCACGCAGGCCCCTATTGCATGTGGATTATCTAAAACTCCACTCCAGCAGTTACTGGGGTCCACACAGGAAGACAGACTGAACTTGGGAATTAAAAGGGCAGAATGATTTATTCAGGTCACAATTTTCCCAGAATTAATATTTTAAAAATATTTATCAACTTAATGATTTTCTACTGATATTTCACAAATCAAATGTTATCTGTCTCTCTAAATGTATTTCTTCTTGGAATCAAAATGAGAAAAAGGGAGGAAAGATTGGGTATGTATATATGGAAAAAAAAGGCCAAATCCTATCTACCACTTATTTTATGCTATAGGTATACAATATTATTGGATCATACAGAATTATATCTAAGATCTACCTACAAAAACCAGATTTTAAACATTTAAATAAATTTGCAATGAACCTATTTAACATCACTTAAGACTGACTCTGAGTCTAAAAAGTCTTCCTCCGTTGAGATTAGGAAGTCTGTAAATAACAAATATCAAATTGGCTTATAGTCAAGTAACTCAACTATATGCCTCTGAAGGTTCAATATTATCCCCACTTACCATTTTCAAGAGATGCATCCTCAGGCAGATCCACATCAAGCATAAGGTCATCATCCTCCAGGTCACATGATTCAAGATTATTCAGAATATCCTGTGAACGAAAGCAGTAAAAATGCTATAACCTAGCTCAAGGATGTTCGTAATCATCAGCTATAAAAACATGACTATATGATGAAATGAATTTACTCAATGTTTGTGCTGTAAGAATAGCTTCAGAAATAAAATTTCTTAAATAAAAAAACAGACTCAACTGGTTTACCTGATTAAGCTATTTGTAACATCCTTCCCCAAATCTTCCTCCCCACCAGATTCTTTATTTTTATTTTGGAAAACTTATACACTGAAAGATATTGTTCTAAGCACTTTACAAATGTTCATTTATTTATTTTTCAACATAACCCTATGATTTCATGACTAATACAATTCCAATATTATATATGATACTGCTGCCTTGGCATCCATTCTGTGTGGCCAAGCAGCCTGCAGGGGCCTTGAACTCAAACTAACCTCTCCCATGAGCACATGCCCTAGATAACAGCCCTTGAAGTCACAAATGATGTCCCCAGCAGCCCTTGTGAGCAACAGTATCGCACCTCAACAAGGCCTTCCCCTTGTGCAACCCTTGGATAAGACTCCCATGGAACTTAGCAAAACCCTGCTCTTTTGGGTTTGAATTCACCCAACCAGCCTAAGCCCAGGAACCCTAAAAAACTTCAGCCACAGACACTAATAAAGGCAAGTGCCCCAGGTCCTGCCATTCTCTCTGTCTGTGCCTGTAGGGGCTTTCAAGGCAGGCTGTGTATTTCTTCTAGGACCTGTAATAAACATCTCTTTCAGTTTTCCTTGTGGTCTATTGTTGAATTGGGGTTCACCATCCAACAACCCAGAGTTCTACTTAACAAACGTTAATTTAACAAAGTCACCACAACCCTCCAGGGCTATTTGTCTCCTCTCAGACAGATCCTTGGGTAATTGCCCAAGTGCCAGGAGAATACATCGGATGGATATCTAAGTTTGGCAAGTCAGAGACAACCTAAGACAAAGCCAAGTAAAAGGTAATCAAAAGAAAAAGCAAATGTGGCCTCTAGAACATAAAACAGGAGAATTCTGCATTAACCGTATGGTAAGGGCAAGGAAGCAAAAATCATAACCTATTCCATGTGTTAGGAAAACATTTTTAAAGGACAGGAAGCAAATACTTTAAACTTTGAGGGCAAAGTTTAAAACTGAGTATATTATGTAGGTACATATATTATCATCTAAAATGTAACCACTTGAAATGTAAAAAAACATAATTGGGAGGCTGTGAAAAAAGCAGATGGTTGGGCAAATTTGGCTCAACATAGTTTGCTGACCTGTTCTATTCAAATAACTGCAATAGCTCATTAACACTCACTATGAACTGAATGTTCATCCCACCCCCACCCCAAATTCATATGTTGAAGCCCTAACATCCAAACAAGATCATGAAGGTGAGGACCCCATGACGGGACCTTAGTGTCCTTATAAGAGGAAAAAAAGACCAGAGCATACTCTCTCTTCCCCAGTCACAGGAGGATACAGTGAGAAGGCAGCTGTCTGCATGCCAGGATATGCCCTTACCAGGAAGTGAATTTGCCAATAGCTTTATATTGGACTTCCAGCCTCCAGAACTGTGAGAAGTACATGTCTATTGTTTAAGCCACTCAGTCTACGGTATTTTGTTATAGTAGCCTAAGCTGACTAAGGCAATACTAAAACACAGCGCGTAAGGGGAAGAACAACATGGGTTTGAACGCATGGGTTTATGCGAAAGGAACAATACGAAAAGGAAATTAAGGGAACTACTCTATTTATAATAATATGCAAAAGAATAAAGTACAGTTGACCCCTGAACAAAGCAGGTTCAAACTGCATGAATCTACTTATACATGATCTTTAAATATCTGTGTTTAACACATTTATACATTGGAATCCTACTTAGCTGTAAAAAAGGAGGAACTCTTACCCTTTGGGACAGTATGGATGGACCTGGAGATTATTATGATGAGTAAAATAAGCGAGTCAGAAAGACAAATATCACATGATCTCACTTATATGTGGAATTCAATGAACAAAATAAACTGAAACAAAATAGGACCAGAGAGGCATGGATACATGGAAAAGATTGACAGATCTCAGTGGGGGGAGGGTGGCTGGAAGAGATTAACTGAAGAACTTATATGCATATATGCATAGCCCATGGATGAACACAACAATATGGTGAAAGACTGGGGGGGAGGCCGGCAGGGGTTCCGTGGAGGGGGGAATAGGAAGGTAAAATGGGGGACACATCTATAATAACATCAACAATTAAAAAAATAAAGTTAAAAAAAAAATCTCTTTAAGTGGACCCATGCAGTTCACGTTGTTCAGGGTCAACTGTATTTTCTTTTTTTTAAATATATCTTTATTGATTTCAGAGAGGAAAGGAGAGGGAGAGAGAGAGATAGAAACATCAATGATGAGAGAGAGTCATTGATCAAGCCCGCAACCCGGGCATGTGCCCTGACTGGGAATCGAACCCCAATCGCCTGGATCCTAGGTCGATGCTCAATCGCTGAGCCACGTC